TTATAAGGAAAATAAGGTAATACTTCTCAATGTTGGTTGTGTTGGTCGTATGACATAATTTATAATGTGCAGCTGTCATATATCGCATATCTATGTTTCATTTATTCAACTAAGTTAAGTCATCATCAAAAATTGAAAAACTAATTAATCGGGTGATATACGAATAGACATAATTGTTAGTTAAAAGTTAAATGAACAAAAGAAGCCGTAAAATTTTAAATCTGCTCGTTTGACCGATTCCTGGTACGGTTAGTATTGAGAAATAAGTTGGTGTGAAAGAATTTATTTCTACACAAATACAGTACACCGAAAACACACAAACGAATATACATTACTGTACACTGTACAGTGTATAGACTTCGCACTCATATATATTCTGGAATAATGCACAGACCAACGGAGTACTGTTATCGTCCCCGATACTCCCATCATAAACCATTCTAACTGCCATCGTAAAACATCCGCGAACTGGACCAACTGAAATTAGCCAATTTCTGCCAATCGTCGCCGAACAAATAAACGTCTAAATTACACACGACGTACGCCAGCTGATCACACGTTACCGTAAAATATCGTTTCGAATCGGCAACATTATCTGGCACGCTATTACCGCTTATCTAGCGAAGTCATCGCATACGTAAAACGCGCCCCGATCCAATTCCGATGCCAATAATACCGCTTCTAATCGCCGATTCGGGGCCAATCGATTCGCCCAAGACAAGACACACCAAGTGCAGTCTCCGACCACTATGATCCTCTTCCTCTATCCTTCTTCCTTTTACCTTGATTCTTAAGGCTTGTTCAGACTGACAAACTTTGGCTGCGGACTATCTACGATACAGTAAGCGAAATTGGGAGATAACTAGATGTTTAACACTAAAACTACCGGACGGATCAAATTGACCCACTCTCGAATGTTTATTTAGCAAGTATTTAAATTACGAAGTTGTTTTCGGGAAGGATTTGAAATTAAATTTGTGCATTTGCACAGATAGAAGACCATGAGACCCTTCGAATCTCAATAAATGTATTATTCTAATTTTTATATAAAAAGTTGGAGAAAGGTCAATCTAATTACTCGATAGTTTTAGTGTTAAGAGACGACATAGAAGCAAGAAGAGCTTCTTGTTGGATGTTTCGTTTATAGTTTTCATTGGTTGCGTGTAACCGTGTTGATAAAAAGCAAATTAGCATGGAAAATGAAATGAAAAAATAGAAATTGATACTAAATCATTTTTGCCTGCATTCCTTTTAGAAATTAACTCCTATAAAACGAAGAGAATGTATAGTACTATTATATTGTAATAGGATAAGTTGAGGAGAAATGGTCCATTTTTTTTAAAGAACTCGTACCTCATAAATACCATTAAAATTTAACAAAAAAGGAAAATATTTTTTGAAAGTGAATACATATACGAACAATAGTTAAATAGGCATCTGTGCAAGGCTTAGTATACATTGTCCACCAATAGTCAAACAATGTTTATCAAATTTATTAACACTTCCAATCAACAAAAGAATGTCGGTTGAAAAATATATATAACTACAATTATAAAAATTAATAATTACAAAATTGTCTTTCTTCTAAACTATTGAAAACGCCAAAACTCGCTAATACGTTTACAGTGTTTTATTCAACTTCACATTGTTTAATAATTCGACACATCAAATTAGTATTTCAAGAAACGAGTACGATTTTGGTACATAGTTATCATTATGAAAAAAAACCTTCTGATACCAAGTTTAAAAGAAGCACTACGAATAATACATTTATTACTTAACTCTTTGAATACCTTCATGCACCTGCGAAAATTTTCTTTTCGATTTTATTAGTAATAAAGAAAGTCTAACATGTGTTCAGTATTATCTAAAAATTGTATGAACCTTCGATCAAAATTCACCGAAATATACATTTTTGTTTATAATCATTTGTTCAAAATTGTCTGGCATTTCTTGAACGCGTATGAAAATTTTCCCCCAACACTCAAAGGGTTAAATACTGTGATCAAAGCCGACCGAAGAACAAGTATCTTCCAACATTTATCTTCATACATTGTCTCTTACCTTCCCTTCCAACTTAAAACAGAATAAACGCGAAAGATTTGTCCACCGACTGTCTCGTATTTAGCCTCTATCCGTAGGCTACCCGCGGCCATGTGTCCGCATACAATTGTCTCTCAGTCTGGACTAGCCTTTACTAGTGCAATTTTATCCCGGTAATAACCGAGAGAGGCATCGGTTTGTTGACCAGCGCAGTGGGTAGCTCCGCGTGGTTACGGGCGAAACTCCTCTATTTTTAGAAGCCCGGAGGCTGGGTCCTAGGATCGCCATCGTCGGGAGGTTCACCCTGGCCTCGGACGAGTGGGTGTCGGTGTAACTGTCGAGGCAAAGACAAAGTGTGGAAAGGACCGCGGGATGGAAAAGGCGGCTAGCGAGACTCTGCCGGATAAAGAAGGAAAAACGGTCCCGGTCGAAAGGCAGAGGGGAGTGAGCTATCGTTTTCACCGGCGTTTCGTGAGGTTAAGGGGGATCCAGGATTGGGGCAAGTGTAGTTTCGTTCTCCTACGAGCTTGC